AGTTTTTTTCGACTATGAAGGGAGGGGACCGTTATCGGATGCGATCTTTTCTGATTTCAGTGTTTTCAAAAAGCGGTATAGAATAGATGTTCAATAACCAATCAAACGTATGCAGGCTCCGCCCGCCTCTTCAGCTCAATGAAATTTCAGAAAGCTCTTACAAGGGAGCGATCCTAATTGAAGGTGGCAAACTGGAATGAGCTGCATACCATTGAATGCGTCTTGATGAGCTAATTTCAGATCTACTTTCTATATCTGCGATGCCCTTCTCTGGATATAATTGAGAGTCGTTGAAAATGTGTCATCAGGGTTTCAACGTATTGTGCTTGAAATCCAACTTGGGATTGCATGACTAACATGATATTGAGTGCACTAATTTCAAGGAATATACGCATTTAGCGAAAATACAAAAAAGTGTTTTGATCAACAAGTTCTTGAGGTATGGCGCTGCACATTTGCCAAATTTGGACTTTTCATTGCTCATAGCTTTTGTCAAAGAGCTTTATTTGTTTTTTTAGATGTTCACAATTGCTTATTTGTGTTTCCTTCAAATGTAAGCACTCATTAGAATTACAATATAGTGTCATGCTAGTCGTGCATTGCCAATTCGAATTTTGAAGCACATTATGCACTACAATCTCAATGGCTTCACATTTTTGATCGCTCATAACTTTTTCAGAGAACGGCATCGCAGATATGGAAAATAGATTTGGAATTTTAGCTCATAGATATGCATCCAATGATGAGCGGCACATTCCAATTCGCCACCTTAAGTTGCGATCGTTCCCCTGTTAGGTTTTTTGATGGCAGATGTTTCATTCTACCAGGTGAACGTCAAGTATTAGTGAATAGCTTCCTGCAGTGAGCTCGTTGAATCGCAAAATTCTACCGTTATTTCGGTCCCATAGTTCGTGTCGTTTCCCAGCCTCGATGAACACTGTAAACAGGATTCAATGCAAAATTTATACCTCTTTTTAGCAGTAATGTTTTCGTTCCGAGTATTTTCGCAATTGTTCGAATACTCGCTTAAGATCTCCAAAACATGGTCTTCACTTACTCTATCTTTGCCTTTGCGAATCCCACTACGCCTTTAATATAGCTTTGACAACAGGAAAGAGTAAACGCAGTGTAGTACAACAAATTTTTTAGGCATCTCAAACTACCACTTCAGCCCTTTTCAAAATGATTATTGCTCATGTTTTCACTTTTGCGAAGTCGTAAGGTACAAAAAAGCTTCGAACACCAACGAACCTTTGATTTTTAGGATCGAAACTTTCAAGATTCGATTACGGTTGAACACTAATTTTACAAGGCGACTGACTATTTACCGCTTCGAACATAGAATTTAGAATATTCCGCGTACAGACCGGTGCGTTCGAAAATAAGAACTACATATAATGATTCTCTTTTCGCAGACATCACAAATGAAACAAACAAAAGTGGGAAAGGGTAGAAAAAGTTGCATCTAACAACACCTTACATCGCCTTTTGCTGTTTTATGAAATTTGGAATGTTCAAGTACATAATGTGGTTGCAGTGAAAATATGGTTTTGGAACTTTAAAGTTGCAGTGAAAATATGGATTTAAAACTTCTAAAAAGCCAGCTATATGTAAAGAAAATGCATGTTTTTGGCTTTGCTTACTCTGTCTAACTGGTATCAAAGTTCTTATGGAGTTCGAACGGGAAATCAGTGGAAAAAGCTGGGATTAGGATAGGTTAAAACCATAAGCTGAAGATTGCGATTGTTGGAGAGAGCGGAGTTGGTAGTTGATCGGAGTTGATCATCCTAAAAAGAGGAGGGAATACTGCATCGAATAACGTTTTATTTATCTACCTTCATTTTGAATGATTTGCCAGTTCTGAAAATGGCACGAACATTCGGACCGACCTAATATTTAGGTGTCCCAAAATAATATGCGCAATGTTCTTGTTTTTTTTTTGATCGTTGATAACTCGCTTGCTTCGATGCCATTTGGCGATCTTTAGATACCAGAATTGCAGAGCTGACCTCAACTTTTACTTTCAGCATAGGGCAAAAACTTCGATCTCACTTTACTGCTGTAGAATCAGGTATGAACTTTAGCATACAGCGCCATTATGAGCTGGGCCTTTGATGAATACTTGCATGCTAATTTCATTACGCAACTTTTCCATTTGTGGACTTTTGTGGAGGAGTAATCATTTTTTGAACATCACTGAAGAAGCGTTTGTTTTTGTTTTCTTGAAATAATTTATCAAGGAAGCGCGACCGTGGTGTGCAAATTTCATATCCGTAATCAGCGACTCTGATTGGCCTAGTATGAGAGTTTTCGGCTTGTTTGGATTTCTTTCTTAAGCAAAATGCTAGTCTTGAGCTCAGAACCCTCTTTAAAGTTCCTACCTTAATCATACAATAACGAAGAAAGGTGGGAGATTTGTTTTGTACTGTAAATTTAAGCTGAAGCCTGCTCTACAGAATGATACATAAAGATCGACAATAGACTTTGAAGCAAGTGAGTTATCAATAAACAAACGGTGTGCTATTTATGTTAAGTATAGGTTAGTTCTCAGTAAGTTAGCAAGCCTTTCAAGATTGTTATCCGTGCTAAATGGTGTGGTGTGGTGTGGTGTGCTATTTATTATTTCGGGACACCCGCATATTGATTTTGATAAACTCGGAGACGGATATGGATAGTGGATTGCTCAGGTAACTATGATCAACAGACGACCCTTTACTTTATTGAGAGCGATCTCTGTTTCGTCTAAGACAGTAAAAGGCTTTTAGGACAACCTGTGATAATGAAGAGGTCATCAAAAAGGCACCCGTTATTCTTAGCTCGAAAGCTCTCAAAAGGCCCAAAAGCACTACAAAACGCCATGGAGCGCTGCAGCTTATCGCCTAAGGCCCACGGCATACCTCAAGCGATTTAATCGCTCTGGCATCTGGCAGTTTGCCAGATGTCTTCAAATTCGATACTGTAAACCCCAAAAGCACAGTACGCTAAACTTTCATAGGTTGATAAAATGCCCTATCTTCTGTACATTCAGAAAACCCTAATGATGATTTATGACCAATTGAAGTATTGCCAAATCATCGTCGCGATTGAAATCGGGTGAGGTATGTTTTCGGCCTGAAGCGTTATGCCGAACACATAGCCCAACATTTGAGCTTACTGTCAACAGGCGGTAATATGAACCCATCACTCGACACTATGCGTGACTAAAACTTACCAATGAAAAACGCGGATGATTGCAGCCGTTCTGGCTTTGATCAATGTTTTCTAGACACATATTTCAGCTTCAGAAGCTGCGCTCGCGATTGAGGAGTTCTGGCGTCTTTGGCGCTTATAGTTCTTGAAATCTGCCGGGTGCAGAAGGAAGCCAAACTTTGACCAGTGAAGCCGTCAGCATCGTGATAAGCACATTCTCGCTGTGTAAAATGTTATTTGAGTTGAGCAATAAAATGTTACTTGAATTGAGCAGAAGACAAAAGATTTCAAAATCAACCGATCAACCGCGTTTCTGTGTTTTTTGAATTTAGAAGTATTTTCGCTCGTGTAAAAAAGGTTACACAAGGTTCCTCTAGTGTTTTTGTTCAATTTGTCATGGCAGGTTAGCTAGCATTTCTTGCGACGGTCTCCGGGGGTGCCTTGACTTTCTACCATCTGGCTTTACATTTCCAACAATTTTGAATTCAACATCTACACAATGTTGATTTGAATTCAATTTGAATTCAACATCTACACAATCATTCTTTGCTAAAAGAGCAAAACTGCTCCTACGTAACCGTTTATTCCCCGCTGTGTTCCTCCATATTGCGCTGGCTTTTCTGTTCGCCGTTGAGTTATGCCATGCTGCAATGAGAATATGTATTGAGAAGCTCGCACAGTCTCTATTGGTCCCTTTTTTCTATTCCCGAAGATTAATCTCTACTGCTAGATTTGCTAGTTAATTTTCTTCTAGCCGGACACTGTAATTGCTCGCCAATGTGCTCTCATTTGAGTAGCTCTGGTCATATTTGCTAGCCGCTTGTTCATCCTGTTAATCACAAACTCCGCTATCAAATCTCATTTCCTGTCCCCTTTGGTCTTCCTCATTGCTCTAATTTTCTTGCTTCTTAGTGGCGCAATCAAATGATGTACCATTCTTTCCAAAAATTTTACTTGAAGAGCAGCTTAACTTGAGTCAAGTGATGGTTCCAATCACTTTGGATTTTCAGCAAAACATTTCTAACAAATTGGGCAATGATTTCATGTTTTCGTTATTTTGTGGAATCAAAAAATGTTATCATAAGCGCAGTAGAACATTTACAACACTACAAAGTGAATTCTTTTCGCACGTTTCGCTGGCAGTGTCCCTGATTGTTTGAACAGTAATAAAAATTAAGCCAAAATTTTATCTATCAGATTGATGCGCAATCCTTTTCGCTATTTTTGCATAAGAAAAGATTTGATAAGCTCTGAGAATGACAGAACTGCTGACTGCTTTATTAGCGGTGTAATAATCATTCCTGATAAGAAGCATCTACTATAGTTATGCTTCCTGTGCAGAATTTTTGCAAATGTGCTAGATTGGTTGTTTGCATGAGAGCCGGAGACAACGGGTAGTGCGCATTTTTGCCCATGCTTCCGTTACGTTGTCTTTGAATCAACATTTGCTAAATGCCGACCAAAAGTAAGAGGTTTGAAGCGTTTTTTTTCTTATATTATAGAGCTGTCACAAGTGCACGATATATCTTTCAGACAGTGAGCAGTTATAATGAAGACGCCCTCAGACAAAACCTGCAAATTCTTTCAGAGAGAAATGGCTTTGATTTCTCACCTTTTTGAAGCGAACTTATATCCAACAATAGCTGTCTCTCACTACAGTTTCCATATTATCAACATATGCGTTTCTCATTCTTAATGTTATCTGAGTTTGTTATCGTCTCGTTGTATTCGCAAATAATGGTTACTACGTTCTTTCCAACCTTTTTTTCTTTTTTGCATGGACCTAGTAAAAGGTTTCCTTTCAGTCCAATATGCAGTTTTTGCCGTACCTACTAGCCATTGTCGCCATCTGCTTAGCAACACGTCAGCAGTCCGTAGCTGTCAAAGGTCGTCTAATGTGCGGAAATAAAGCAGCATCCGGAGTTACCGTCAAGTTATGGGAAGAAGATGACGGTACGGTCATTTTACGTAGCCATATAAGGCCAATTTGAACATGTTCGCTTGAGAAACTCTTATCGTAGCATCGAAGCTCCTTTCCTAGCGTAATCTGTCGATATGAAATGAGTACAAGCAAAAAATGGCCTTTCGATGCGATTTACAATCGACCATATCAGCTGCGCTCCTGCGTGAAAAAGAGATAGTCAGTGAGGGGATCTTTCAACTAGGTACATAATCTCTCCTCTACTTATTCAACATGTAGGTCCAGCGATCCTAAGTGAACCTCTCTCGCCATGCGATAGAGAGCGGTACTATATAGAGATAGTGAGAGTCAACTCCAGCGAAAATTCTAATTTTCTAATACTTCGACATTTTTGGCGCTGTGTTCCAAACGATTTATTATGTCAAGAACAAGAGTGCAACCCTCACCCCAAAGTCTCCACCTATTTATTGCTATAGCCTGAGGAACAAGCAAGGTAACAACATGAGTAGCTTGATTATATAGAGCGTAAAACTCTTGAAGATACTGTCTTCAGTGGTTTACACGTTGGACGGTATAAAGAACAGGAGCTTCTATTGAGATGTTATAGGCCCAGATCCTGACGACCTTCTTGCTCAGGGTTACACAGACGGCGCTGGAAACTTCAATTTGCAGGCAAGTTAGCTCGGATTAGCGTTCTACAGACCGGTAAATTGGAAAAAAGCATGAACCTTTTACATTTTGATTTTTGCGAGCTTTTCTAGCAAATGAAATTCGGCCTCGGCTATACTGCGCTCTCCAACTAACGAGTAATTGATTCATCTTTTGACATTTTTTTTCTAGGGCTCGGAGCGTGAGATGACCAATATCGATCCAGTGCTGAAGGTATATCATGATTGCGACGATGGAGTGAAGGTAGCATGGTCTTGACAGATTGCGGATGCTAAAAATGTTTGACGGATTTTTCAGCCGGGACAGAGGAAAGTGAAATTTCGCATTCCGAGCTCGTATATTTCACCTGGTGGATTGCCTAGGCGTACGTTCGACATCGGAATTATCAATCTAGAAACTATTTTCGCCAAAGAAGAACGCGATCTGTATAGAAGATAAATTTAGTTCAATCATTGTCTACTTTGTTTGCTTGAAGAATTAGGATCAGGCCGAGCTAAGCATTAAACTGCTAACTAAGCTTTGCAAATTCTTCCCTAACTTTTTGCTTTTTGATCTTGATGCTTTCTTTTTTCTTTTATGTGAAGTGGAGAGCGGGCTACAAATTGGAGCAACTGCTCCGTTTTGGAAAAAAAATCCACGCACTTTTCAAATTAGTGAAATTCAAGGATTTTCTCCAGTTCTTAGTCGAAACAAAGCTGTTTGCAACCTAGATCACGTACAAGGATCCGAGTGTACATCGACTAGAGGTCCAACGGCAACAAATGGAATTTGAACTCAAGTAGAGATCCGGCAGTCCTGCGAAGTCAAACGGGTTGCTGTACGCAAGGCTGCTGAGGGGTAACCGTCAAGAATCAAGAGTCTCAGAATTCGCCGAAACTTGGCAAATGCGGTTACTCGACCTACTGAATACGAAAATTATATTCATTCGACTAGCTCCTCTTTTTGTGTTTAAGGCGAAATTCCATAGCGTGGATCTACCGTAGTCTTATAAAAATGTCCCTACCAAGCAGATTCAGAATTGTTGTCATGACCAGCACGTCGGATAACCCCGTTGTGCCGCAAAACTTGGTTAACATCCTAATAGCGTGCGTTCTAGCAGACTTCAAAGCCGTTATAGAATATCCGCGGAAAACAAAATCTGAGCGAGAACAAAAGTCATGCATTACCTCTCTATAGGTCAATAAGTGCAGGGTATGGAGTGTCGATGAGGTCCAAAAAATGGTGGATAGTAAGCAGTCAGCATGGTAGTATGCCTGCAAAATTTGAGCCCTCTAGCTTTATTTTGAACCGAGTTATGAGCTCCCCAAGTTTCGTGCAATATATTGTACTGTCGCGTGCCTGGGCTGATAAGTAACAAAACGCCGATCACGTTTTTTGTGGAATTACAGCTTTCTAACTCAAAATGGAGAAAAACGAAAAGGGCATATATGGTATAAATTTTGTCAATGAATCCAATGGTGCCTTCGGCTTCTCGCCATCTTTACTCCATAAGCGACGTTTTGCCCGATATTCACAATGGGCCTCAGATTCAGCCGATAAGGCTGGTTCTTTTTGTGTAGTGTTTTGGTCTTATACTGTTTGTGTAGTCAAAATTTGAGCGCCGCAGCTTTCCTAGAACTCGAGTTATAAGAAAGAAAAGAGTTTAAATGGTCAAAAATCCGGATTTCTGGGTCGGAAGGAAGTAGTGAACCGATGAGGTCCAAAAAATGGTGGATAGTAAGCAGTCAGCGTGGTCGTATGCCTGCAAAATTTGAGCCCTCTAGCTTTATTTTGAACCGAGTTACAAGTTCGCGAAATTTTGTGCAATTTGTGGCGCAGTCACTTCTCTACTCGGGGATATAATTGCAAAGCAAGAACACCACGTTCATGTTACCCGTCAAATTCATCAGGTTGCACATGCTCTTTTGGAGATTTTCCCGCGGAGAAAGCAGAGCAAATTGTGAGATTTGGAACACATTCAATCGCAAAAACCTATGAAAACGGCATGACTCTGCAATTTAGAAATCCACATAGCTAACAAAGAGGAGTGTCTTCTTCAAAGACTTTGCGATGGTTCATAAAGCTGCAGAAAAAAGGTCAAGTTGAAAGTAGTAATTTGGTAAAAACTATCAGGCTGGAAACTAAGTTTTACAACTTTTTTCATAGCCTTACTCTTTTTGGATGTGGCGTATTTGAACTTGGCAATATGTAGAGCGTAATATGTGCTAAGGTACTCACAAACCATTTAGATTTTGAACGTAGGAATCCAAGCATTTTTCAGAATTAGTGGAACTTGAGAACTTTTGTATAAGCAAAATTGAAACTTCCAGCAGCCTAGATCATGCGCAGAAATTCGTAGTCATGTTTGTACTATAGTTGGAGGTTGACTCATTCGGCTCAGTGAAAAAATAAGATTTAAGAGCTTATAGTTTGGCGTCATCACAAAGTCGAACGAGTCACTGCACGCAAGACTGCTGGGAACAACCGTCTATGACTAAAGAGTCAAAACCTTAAAATTGGTCAAGACTTCGCATAGTGGGGGTATCTGATCTCCGAACACGAATATCATATTGCATTTGCTGAATCAGCGCCTTTTTCTGCATAGGATGAGACCGCATACCGTAAACCCAGAGGAGTCTTACAAAAAAGCCCTTATAACGCAATTTTATAATAGTATCGTTTTCGTGATCGGCAGTGGGAGTAATCCCCTATGCAATGTTTCAGACATATCTATAAAATTTCTTGATTTTTACCCTTATACCAATACCTACAGTAATCCTCGCTGCGACTTCAGGGGCGGTATTTATCAATCTCCCATCGCTCTGCGGACCATTGTCGCACAAGCGAGAACGCCCTTTCCGCGATTTATGGAAGTCTGAGAAGCGCGGCCCAAACGGGCAGCGCCGCCCGACCCGACGAGATGGGGAACTGCTGCCCGAACTTGCCAGATCGAACCATATTCTTCAATAGACAGGAGCCGGTCACCAGCTTGGCTTCATATATCGTGGGCGCCAGTCAGGAACCGGCATGAGTCGTTTTCTAGGGTTTCTGAAAACGAAGTCTCCCCTGACTTTCGAAAGTTTTACGAAGTCCCCTTTGACCTACCTGCTTAGGAGAAGATGAAAACAAGAAAGATTTACTAGTCTGAAAGGAAAAACGTAAGATAAGAGCGGAATCCAAATTGGAGCTTCTTACTAGGCATGCACAAGACTTTGGCATAAGAGCGCAATATTTAACAGAGCGAAAAGAAATAAAGGCAAAAAACAAAGGAAAGGCAATGATATGAAAATATCTTCATGCTAAGGGATAGATTCTTGGCCAGGGCATCCGTCCATGCTAAAAAGATCCGAAACTTATGTGAAGTGACGAAAATATATACTCCAGACGATCTCAGATCGTCTGATGGCCGTCTGGAGACGATCTAATTTGGAATAGGTATTATTTCACATAAGTTTTTAAATCTTTTTACATAATCCTTTCGCATCCTTTTTAATTTTCTATGTATATAGTTCAATTTTGATGTTATATGCTTCTGTGTACGCTGTAAACAAGCAATTTGTTTATTTAAGCCTTGCTTTCAAATCGCGCGCATTTGGCCATACACGATTGAGCATGTCAGTCGTGCGATAACCTGTCAAAGCTTGTGTTCGACTAAATGGCGCTTATTCTTGGTGCTCGATTCCGACCCGTCAAAAACGATATCCCCTTTGCTGTTTGCTTTAAAAACGAAGTTCAGCCTGCTTCCAGCTGTGCCGGGCCTTGGCGCCAGTGCCCGCGCCTGTACTGGCTGTTACCTGTAAGGGTACCCCTTCCTGTACAGGAGATTGATAAATACTGCCCCAGAATTGGGTAGAGCAGCAGCCGCGCTTGTAGCTTACGCTTGTAGCTTTAGCATAACCTAAACAAAGACAAATATGAATGCGTTTTGTCAAAAAGGAAGATAGTTATCGAATGAGTTGTAAAACTCAGTTTCCGACCTAATAACAAATAAATTAAAGGGAATCATGTTTAATCGTGGCCTTTGCAGAGAGAATGTATACCATATTGAACATAAAACGCGATTCCAAAACTACCTCCCAATCTTCAAAATTTTTATGGACGAGTTATAGCGTTTAATGGAGCAAAAAAATGAATGTGCAAAGAGGACAGAAATAGTCGTGATATTTTTTAACGCTTTGAGAGCAGTGATAATCATCAGACCACTTTATTCGATAGATACTTTAAGGTAAAAAACCAATCATATTTTGCTTTATTTAAGGGATATTAAGAGTTTAGCAACCGTTTTTATCCTGAATGTACTTCTAATTTGCTCCAATAAGCGCTCATAATTCTATTTTCACAAAAGTTCCGCAGAAAAGGAAGGCAGATTTGGAATTAGCGTTTTATGATCTCCAATATCGTACATATATGATAGGCCCGAAGGTTTTCCCGTAAATCAAAGAAGATTCGATAAATTTTCAAAGACTAGCACTGAATCTTTAGATAGACATAACGAAAATAAACGAAGGTTTGTACTATATAACAGACTAGCCGGCTTAGCCGGCTCCGCCCGGCCCAGGGCCCGGCACGCGTTGGTTTGAGGTCAAACTGGACTTCGTTTTTAAGGGTAAAAGCAAAGGGGACTTCGTTTTTATGAGGTTCCGGAGGAAGCGCCAAAAAAACACGACGAACATGTCAGGTTTCACGAGTTGAACGTGTTCTTTCGCAAGCGCGCGAATTTCAAATGCAAGACTCAAACAAACAAATGGCTCGTTTACAACGCACAAACAATCACATAGCTCCGAATTTGGGCTATGAGTATACAATATTACTCCAAACTATGTTATGTAAAAAGTTCCAAAAACTTATGTGTCTGAATACCCGTTCCGGATTTGTTGGTTTCAAAACCAACCACCGAACCAACTGGGTTGGTTCGGAGCATAAATTTCGAAGAGTTCACATAAGTTTTGGACCTTTTTGATTTGGACGATTAAAACGCTTGAAAATCTATTATATGGTGAAGAGAGCAAATCAAACCATGGTCTCTGCTCTTTTTACGAGCCAAATATAATATGAAAATAGACGCTTTGATAGATATTACGCTCCAATCACATATGTGTCACGGCGCCCTTTGAAGTGGCGCCGATTGCATCATTTCATTTTTACTTATCTCGTCATGTGCTCCTCTTCGTTTTCTTCTTTTCCGTCTCTTTGTGTCTTTTTCTGTCTTCTTCTTTGTTTTTAGTATTCTTTCGTTTCAGAAAGCATTCGCAATGGAGCCGAAGGAACTCAACAACAAGAAAGACGGATGGTACGACAAGAGACAGCCAAGGTAAGTTTGATTTATTGATTTGATTTTTCATTGTTTGATTTGTTAGCCAGCTTACCTCGCTATTCCACATTAATCCTCGGGCAGAATTTACGCGATTTGATCGTCGCGATTGAACGCGACATGGAAACTTTGACACTATCATTGCATGCCGATCTTCTTGCATTTCGGTTGTGATAGTTTTCCAACACGAATAATTGTGACTTACTATCACAACCGCTACTAAAAGATGACATGCAATGAACTCGCAACACTTGTCTTGTAGCGAATCGCGACGATCAAATCGCGTGAAAGGCCTAACAGGACGAAAGTGCATCTGCGAGCTTCGCCAACACTCATGTCGCGCAATTTTTGGCAACATAATGCTTGTCACGTGTCGTTCAATAATAATGCTGAAAGATTCATATTGCATTTGAGGGGACAGTTCTCTTTTCATAGCAGTCTTTCTATGGAATTATGTTTTTTATTGATAATTACGATGGAAACTTTGGAGAAGCTGAAGTTATCCTCTTGTTTTTGACGAGTTATTTGCAGTTGCTCGTTTGGAAGGGTTGCCTGTATTTTACAATGAACGTTTACATTGTGTGCAATCGCCCAATTTAGGGGAAAAATGAATAGGCTGTGTTCAGCTAAGGCTCGTATTTATAAATCTGCTTCGCTGCCTGTGTTAAATTCTCAAAACTATGACGAAAACTTTACGACCGTTAATGAAGTGTTTTATGCAGCATTGAATAGCCCCTCGTGACAATTTGTGGTTTTTTGAGTGGTGCTAAATTCAGGACGACGACATTTCGAGATTCAGTTTTAGTGCTTCGAATACAAACTTGTTTCGGTCATGAGTTGATAAAGTGGAACGTATTAGCCAACGTCATAGGTTCTACACAATTTTGCACTTCTAAGGTGAGATTTCGATTCTCAGCTATGGAGATTTTTTTCTCAGTTGCTGGACTTGCTATGCGAAACAGCATCTAGGGCTTGTCAAAAAGTGTTTTCATATATTTCTCACTATCCCTCCCTTTAATTTCGCTCATGTCTTTCTCCATTGTATTCTGTAGTCAAGCTCATTTTCTCGTATCCACAACAAAAAATTTTCTTCTATGTTTGTGCGAATTTGGAACCATATGATTCTTCAAAGCAAGCATGCGTTATGTGTATCTATATACAGTGTATTAAGTCATTCGCTCTTTTCTATGTAGAAAAACATTGCATTTTTTTAGGCTTCAGATGTCTGTATTCACTTTCTGTCTGTTCAGCTTTGAAATGTGTATAAATCCCTATCTAAACTTAGACTACGCAATGATTTAATCATAGAGGCTTGTAAACAATTCAGAGATTTTTCGTAAGTAGTTTTTAAGACCTATACGTTACTCGGTCATGAAGCTTTTTGATATCTGGATCTTAAAGGCACCGTCCACCCAAAACAGAGGTTGGCGAGATTATGATGACATGCTAGTATGGGCCCCCATACTAGACAAGCCTCCAAGCCTCGTCGCAAAAGACTGCTTCTGGAGCGAGAAATCCGCTCCGGAAGCACCCCCGTCGCCCCGCCCACCTGCATGCTTTATCTCGCCTGCGCTTGTTGCAGAGGGTTCTTGAAACAGGGATTTTTGGGGGTTTCGCGGATTTTCGACTCCATATCCGGAATCAGGGTCTCAGAAGGCCTGAAGGCGACAAAAACATTGAATTTGAGATTTTGGGTGGACGGTGCCTTTGAAGGCAGCTTCCAGGCAAATCTGGACTAATCTGGACTATGGGGCTCTCACGTGGGTAATAATTTTGGGGACTAACTAGGGGGTCAAAATCACGGATCTGCCCGAAACTTCGTTCAGAGGGGTTATTCGAACGCTGATGTTGAATATCACATTGGTTTTGTACCGTAGCGTCATTTTCTCGGGTTACGGTGGGTTTACGGTAGGGGGTCAAAATCTAAAATTTGCTGTAACTTCGCACTGAGGGGTTATTCGACATGCTGATTAGAAATGTCACACTTTCTCCGCACGAAAATTCTTCCCTTCATGGTTACTCTGGGTTTACGGTAGGGATCGAAATCACAAATCGGCAAATGTATCTTTCCCCTGTGCTTTGTATGACGAGAACACTATAATGAAGTTTAGCCTAATATTTTTTAGGTATAAGTGGCACTATTTCAAAAGTCTCATTTTCCTCTTCTTGGCCGTTAACGTCGACGTCGTAATGCCCGATATCTCGAAAAACAATACCAACAACAACAACCAATCGTAAGTCCATTTTCTAGTTTCTAGTTTCAAATCTATTTATTTTATATCATTCTATTTTTAGGTACTCCAGCCATCCTGAAATGTGATTGTCCCACTTTCGGGGTCATCGATGGTTTTGCGCATTTGACAAATTTGGTTCTCCTGCTTCTATCTTTATTTTTTCAGTACAGACTGGTGAGTTTTGAATTTTTTAATGCTCAATTTTTATGCCAGAAAAATCTCATTCAGATAAAGCAGAATCAGGAAATCGACAACAACATCCGCCAGAATCCGGCGCAGATTCCCAACATTCCCGCATTCTACCGCCAGGATATCCCTGCGCTGATGGCACGTCCAGCTAATCCGTTCTTGAATTAAAGCACCTGAACGAAGGCGACGTATCTTCACTTCATCTCTACCTTTGTCACACTTCCATTTTTGCTAATTGTTTCTTCATTTTCACCATTTTGAGGCTTTCAAAAAGCACATTTTTTTCGCCACACTTTTTGAATCCAAATTGCTGTATCGTTCGAAAAGCTTGAATTTTGAGATTTTTTTTTGTTCACATACTGATCTCTTTAACACGGCCCAAAGCTGAGAATTTTTTGCTATGGATCTCATTAACACGGACCTCAGCACATTCCTTTGCGTTCCTTTGCTCATATTAGTCGTCAAAATGCCTTTTGTGTCACGTGTATGTTGCCTTAATAAACACTTATACTGGAAAAGTTTGTCGAATGTTGAAGGCCCTAGCCAGACTTCGGTCAGAGGAGCTCAAAAGCGCCCAAACTTCTCTAACCCCCCTTCTCACTCTCTCTCATCTCTCCTCACACGAGAAAGTGAAGAGACAACAAAAAAATTTGGGCGCTTTAGGGCGCTTTTTGGCGCTTTTGAGCGAAGTGTGGCAAGGGCCAAAGCCTCAGAATGCCAGGCACTCCAATTTTGGGGTCAAAGGGGACTTCGTAAAAATTTTCGGAGTCATGGGGGACTTCGTTTTCAAAAATTCTCCAAACCAACGCGTGCCGGGCCCTGGCCCGGCCCTGTCAATACACTATGGTAAAGGTCCCATCCTTATCCCTACACAATCTTTCCCTGTGCCCACTCCTACAGGCCTATTGCCCATTTCCGCTGTGTTAGTAATCGAGGTAATCGGATGCTCTGGGGTAGTAATCTGGAGTAATCTGGGGTTTTCTGATGAGGACATCCCTAGTTTACTTATTTCTCAAGTCAATTCCCACATGCAAAGCGATTTCCTCATATTTATAATGCCATTTTACACAATGCATCAACAATTACGAATAAGAGAGGAGTGGAGAACAACAGTTCAACAAAGAAAAATTTTTATTTTCTATTCCAAGCATAATTTGTAAAATAAACGTTATTTTCGTCGTTGATTCTGAATGACATACGCACAAGATCTTGACTTCGATTCGATCGATGACGTTTCAAGCACCACCACAGCAGCATTGGCGATAGAAATGTGTAGACGGGGATAGTCTGGAAAGGGTGTAATGAGAAATTGAAACGTTACACTTTTGGTTAGTGAAGGAACTCCGCGATGTCGCCAAATTTTATCGACTTCTGTGCGAAACTTGCACGCTCATCGACTTGCTGACATTACGGTATCATTATGTAAGAGCTAATACATTGCATCAAGTTCCTTACTAGTTACAGAAGATTCCATCCGTGGTCGTATTCATCATCGAAACCTTGAGGGTAGGGTAGGGTTTACCCCAAGCACTTGAGAGTGGATCTTACCCTCGAGGGTAAGCCTTACATCAGAGAGCGAACAACTCGTATTTACGAACGTGGCTCATCAGGGTAAATTTTAGATTCACTCTGAAACTTCAAACATCAAAAGAAATGTGATTTCTTGATCCAGTCCTAACGTCGCTGTTTTGACAGTAAACACATATTTGTGGTTACTACTACCTCAAACCTCCTACGGCCTCGTTTCCTGTTTGCGTTTGATGTTATTATCCGATATTATAGTCGACCGAGTTGTTAAAGTAAAAGATTTAGTTCTGAATAAAGTGCATGTCCAACTAAGGAACAAATATGAGAACAAAGCCCAACAACTCGGAGAATTTTCCTAATATGGAATTCTTTCATCCAAATTTCGGTTCATCGATATACTTATTCAATCTTCTTTCTGATGTCTCTTCTACGTTGGGCATCCGAAGGCAATTCTCAGAGAGGACGGTAGACGAATAATGCAGTAAAGACCGGGATAGTCAATGGCTTTAATATTATTGAGTTCATGGGGTAAATATACTCAAAAATGCAAAGTTTGGGGGCCACACAGCTTAGGTACGCAAGACGACGAACATTGCCGTGACAAAGTCTTGCTTCGCCGGCTTATGAAAAATGACATTGAGAAATAGGTAGAAGAAAGGGAAGAAGCATAAACAGTGACAGTACATAAATAAGAGTTCACTAGGTTTTTTTGGTAAGCCGTTTGTTGTCAAGCTTTTTGAATAAATTTCATCAATAGAAAAGGAGATAATTTGGAGAGAAAAAGATGTCTGAAGTGGATTTTCGCCTATTCTTTTTTTTCAATGCCAAAATTCTTTCTCAATCCTGCTAAGTTGACGCAAATGAATCTGCAGAGCAGATTTGCATAACCGTACAAAATATTGAATATCGGAAGAAATAAGGTGACAGAACTTATTACATGACCTAATTTATTGATATAAACTCACATAGACTGCGGCTAAATATGCCCTGAAAGACGATGGAGCAAAAATCTTCTGTAGTGAAGCTGTTATGGCGACATTAGCCATGAAAAAGCTGAATAACACCGAGTGAAGAATGATGAGCGGAAGCAGTAGCCGAAGAACAGCAAAGTTTTCCTTCGCTTGATATTTGCAACGAATATCGTAGACTTTGCTAAAATGCGCCATTTTGCCATCAAAATGAAATCTCTGACAAGTGATAGTGACAGTGATATCTTTTTTGAGTGATTAAAAAGTGCAAAGACAATCTTCCTTTATGTTGCAGCCAAAATCGACCGGAGTTGAGTGATTTCGATAATCACATTTGCCCATGCGGTGTTATGAGTCGAAGAAAGAATTCGCTCAGGTGCTTATAGGCGTACTACTCAGCATGCCCCTTCACAGCTCAACAACTTATAAAACTATCATAAAGCTGCCTCTAGCAGAGATGATGCAAATTGACTTAATTGTAGTTACTACTGCTATACTGCGTCAAAAATACATAAGCTTAACTATTAGGTTGGTCCGAAAGTTCTTGCGCATCATTTTCAAAAAATCATAACTTCCTTGACACTCGATGGATTTCGTTGGGATTACATGTATTCGAAAGAGGAATCCATGCTTTTTACAGCAGTGCCTCCGGCATGAATTACTCTGGAAAACTTCAAGAGTTAGAAGCAGTTGAATAAAATCAGTCAAGATTGGCATTTTTCGAGCTGGGTCACGAAAAATTCTGAAAGTATTTTTATTTGATAGAGAAAATTATGCTCATTACAATGGTACCTTTTTCATGAATTAAAACGAAAAAGATCGAGAGTTAGGAGCAAATAAACAGAATTTTTTCAGTTTTGCAATTTTTGAGCATGCTCAAAAAAGCCTTAAAACGTCACAGAAAAGGCGGAAAAGCCACAAACATGGGTTTTGTGACATTCTCTTTCTAGATGAGCAAAATTCGTGCCAATCGGGAGCAATTTTGTTTTTCGTGATTTTTTCGGATTTTCGTGCCTGCGTTTTTCACGAAAATCAAAATTGCTCTCGATTAGCACGATTTTCTTTCAGCTAGAAAGAGAAGGTCATAAAACCCATGTTCATCACTTTCCCGCCTTTTCTGTGACGTTTTTAGGCTTTTTTGAGCATGCTCAAAAATTGCAAAACTGAAGAAGTTCTGTTTATTTGCTCCTAACTCTGGATCTTTTTCGTGTCAAATCACGAAAAAGGCACCGTTGTAATAAGCATAATTTTCTTTATCAAATAAAAATACTTTCAGAATTTTTCGTGACCCAGCTTGAAAAATGCCATTCTTGACTGATTTTATTCAACTGCTTCTAACACTTGAAGTTTTCCAGAGTAATTTATGTCGGAGGAACCGCTGTAAAGAGCATGGATTCTTCTTTCGATCACGTGTAATCCCAACGAAATCCATCGAGTGTCAAGGAAGTTATGATTTTTTGAAAGTGATGCGCAAGAACTTTCGGACCAACCTAATATTTTTACAGTAACTCTAACGGGCGGCAGCTACTTCGAAGAGAGCTCGATTTCTCTAAGATTACATTTTTGCAAATTGGTTTTTGAGTTTTGAGTTACTTTTTAGTGGAAACACCTAGTCATTCTTTTTCATTTATACAATTAGTAAAACTAGGTCAAAAAGATGCAATAAGCATAAAATGGAAAAAGGGTGAAATGAAAAAAAACTATAACAATCACAACCGTCAATAAAGAAAGGAGCTATCTCCCACCAGAAGTAAGAGGAAGCGAAAAAGTTAAAGTGTAATGGCCCACTTCTACATGCCAATTCCCTGTTTCCGCTGTGTTAGTAATTAGCATGCTCACTTACCTTCCGTGCCAACTCCCAGCGCCGCAGGTCGAATTTTACAAAAAATCGATAAAAATCGACAAAATCGACATCGGTTGATGATGAAAAGTAGCCTACGAAACCCGCCGCTCTCCGAAGTGTATGTGTGAAGTTTGGTACGGATCGCTTCAGAAATGGAATTTTCTATTCGGAACATACGTACAGATAGACAGACATACGATGTATATGTAAGATGCCTTCTTTGACGATTCCATTGATTACCAAGTTATTGGCAAAATTAGTCTTGTGTTTAAATGAATTTCGAAGGTACAAAACTGCAAACATAGTAGGTTCAAACATAGTGAAGAATTTTTCTTCTAAGGGTGCAAAAAATGGGCTTATCATAACTTCTAATGAAGTGCTAAGCGTCTGTCTGTTTATCTGTGTGTATTGTCTGTCTGTCATGAAAATGGAGCGAGTGCAGTCCACGTCTAAAGCCACAATTCTGCACAACATACGGTACAGCATGTAGGTCCATCGTGCCTAGGAGATAGCCGGTCCGATAAGCGCATCTATCAAAAGTTGGGTGTCGCCCGGGTCCAGGCGAATTTTGGCCCGCAAAACTATGCGGTATTCACGCTTTTTGCAAGGTGATGAATTTGACGAAAGCAAATCCGCAAATCATTAATTTCAGCTCAGAAAGTGAAAAATCCATTTTTTGCAAAAACGGCGGAAAAAGTATGATGGCGTAGATTGTCAAATTCAAGCATTCACGTAATAAACTGAAGAAATTATTTCTTAAGGTGTGGCCCACGGTAATCATCGTCCTTATGGCGACTATCAAACCAAAATAAAGTCAGTGTTCAATCCAAATTCACATTTGTTCTTCTGCCAAAAAGTTGCTCCTTCCAAAGTTAAGGTCTTACATGGAATTCTCAAGGAACGAGTAGTTGTTTACTATTCATTCATAATATCACCATTTGGCGGTGAGTATCAAACAGATCATGTTGCGAGAATGAGGGGGGGGGGGTAGGATAATCGACAGGGCACGGCATGTGGCTTACCAAGCAAGCTGGACATCGTTCTAAGAGAAAAGCAAAGGGGGTATCGTTTTTGCGGAAGAGCATACCGCTGTCTTTCGATCTGCCGCCTGCACGCAGCCAGCGTGCCGGCAGCATGCTCTTCCAAACAAATAAAGAGCTTGTTTACAGCGAAGTGAAGATGAAATTACGCTAGAATAGGTGTGTAGATGGGCAATGGGAAGTTAGAACTAAGAATGAAAAATTATGAAAAAATTATGGAACTGAAGGCGTGCTCAACTTTCTTCGGAGTTAGGCGGCTTTCAAGCCACCTTAAAGCCACCTGAGGCGGCCCGAGAAAGAAAAAGTCATAAATTTTCCTCCTTTCGCATAATTTTTTTTCAATTTTTTTTACAAAGATTTCATTTACATCCCAAACCCTACGAATTGATTCCTAAACCGCCTTAAACCCCCTCCTCTGCGCTTAGTTACAGCCTCTTGAAAATTTTGAATATTTTGAATGGCAGTGGCAACGCTGCTCCAGACGCGTAGTGCCGCTAGCTGGATACATCATGCCGCCAGTCCGAAAAATACGGATATCATCGTGTTTTTTCGATGCTTTTTGCATTTTTTCTTTGCTCTGTTTTGTTTCTTTTCATGTAAATTCTCTTCCAATATCTCATGGCGTATGTCGTAGTTTCATTGTGAAGTCAAAGCGGATTTCTTTTTTGTAAATTCGGGAAGCCACCTCGTGCCGGGCCCTAATAATAGAGCCATTGTGACCTTCCGCAAAGCAGAGGTGACGCAGTGGTATATTATAATTCCAAACCAATAAAGTTCCTCTTCGACCGGATGGTCATTTTAGCGATAATTGGAGAACAAGCTGAGGGTGATGAAGGTACATGTATCTCGGATGGAAGGATAGTTTGTAAGAGATTTTATTCGTGCTTTCACCTGCTCTCAATAGCATTTCGGTAATTCATTGCACAAAATGGCATTCAGAACAAGTAGAATAGAATTTATTCTGCAACTCTATCTGCTTTAGAAGGAAGTTAACAGACCGCAACATTCCTATCTCTTTTGGCATATTGCAGGATTCCTCAACCCTGTATCAGGTAATTGGTGTACACATTTCAAGCTGCTCGCTGAGTTTGCACCGCCCATCACATTTTGAAGATTAAATTCTCGAAAATATGAACACAAACCTCCCCTTCGAATTGAGGCAGTAAACGCAACAAAATGAAACGATGATGACAGCTTCCAGAAATAGTACAGAACAGCTGAATTCGATGATTTGTAATATAGTCTGGCTAGTTGCAACTTTGCAATATGATGTTTTCTCAAACATGGGATAATTTTTGAAAGTGTACGCTGCCATTCCAACCGAAATTGAAACCTAAAAATTGTTTAAACCTGAATCTAATAATAAAGAAAACTCTTCTTACCGAAGCGACCGCTAGTACCAATCCAATTGAAGATTTTCGTTTCTCGTATGTTTTTATACGTTTCAGTGCTATCGCTCTTTCTGTCACTATGGATAGGTGAACAAGAGCTTGTGCAGCAGCGCACATCAATGTTGGCATGCGCACAACATAGCAGAAAACTGTGGAAACCAAGGCATTGCATGTATCTTGCACAACGTAGTGTTGAAATAAGTGAACTCCCTGAATGAAATGTATATAATTTACAATTCTGAATATCAGACCTACTCGAGATTACCTCTCCCATTCCAAGTAAGAATGAATGAAGAAGGTTGAGTATGACTATTGTCCAAATCAGCACCTAAAAAGTAATTATCGTTGATAAAATGTTGCGAGTCAGAGAGTATGCATTGAGTTCTATATTTCTGTGGAAGAAAGGACGTGGGAGAGAATTTCGCAACTGCATCTATCAGCTCTGCATTCGGACTGCTTTATAGTCCGTCTACAATTTCAAATTCAAAAAATTATTACTCCTTTTAAAATAAACTTTTTTGAACCTCTAGGACCTACAGATTTTCAAGGAAATGAATAATCCAATTGCTTGCCTCGTTTTTGCACACGCAACGCATATATGGTCCTTTTCAGCTACAAAATTTTCACAAATGCTTTGAGAGCTAGAGGGTTACTGCTAATGGGCTCTGCCAGCTCTTGTTTTACTCTTTCACATGCAACTTTCGACTCCTCGACCGTAGAAAATCTACACTGACAAAATCGAATTCTTCTAACAGCCTGCAATCTTGTTAGATCAAAAATTTCATGAAGCTTTTCGATGATCAAACACTTCCGCATCAAATTCGAAACCTGAAGCTGTTTGGAACACAATGCCGCAAAAATCGGACAGAACTTACGCAGCAAGCTGGTAGGTATTATAAATAACTAAGCGTGCTGCGAAACCATTTCTCGCTTTTCACAAAAGCAGGCTGAGACTCATACAGCTTTCGTTTGCGCACGTTGAGGTAAAAAGCAGAATAACTCGCTACAATAATTGCACTCATAAGGCCCGAATACAAAATGTGAATGCAAAGCGTTCAACCTAAAAGGCTTCAAGTAAAATCTTTTTAGGATTATACTTAGAGCTGAACAAAAAATTTTGGAATGAAGCTGAAGCATTAGCCACGAACCTGCAAATTTTTCAGATGCTTCTCAAAAATTTACTAATCTTATATATAAAGCTGAACGTCTGTTTGTCTGTCTGTATGTCTGTCTGTATGCCTGTATGTCTGTGTGTACGTATGTTCCGAATAGAAAATTCCATTTCTGAACCGATCGGAACCAAACTTGGCACACATACACTTCGGGCCCCGGCGAGTGTCATAGGCTAATTTTCGTCATCGATCGATATCGATTTTATCGATTTTTTGCAAAATTTGAGCTACGGGGCTGGGAGTTGGCAGAGGGGTGTAATCGAGCATGTCGATTACACCCCTCTGCAAGATTCCAGCCCCGTAGCTCAAATTTTGCAAAAAATCGATATCGATCGATGACGAAAATTGGCCTATGACACCCGCCGGGGCCCGAAGTGTATGTGTGCCAAGTTTGGTCCGGATCGGTTAAGAAATGGAATTTTATATTCGGAATATACGGCGGAGCCGGGTAAGCCAGCTAGTTACTAATAATTTACGTCACTCAAATTTTACAAGTGTAAACAATTCATTTACACATTTTTCAGCTCGTGGAAATGACTTTGAAAAAATTCTCAATTCACTATCGAGGGGGGGGCGTCTTCCCCCTTGGCCCCGACCACTGATACGGGCCTACCCGTGGCGGTCCCAGGATTCCCGTCCTCGAGGGAGGGGTGGGGGGAGGGGGGGGGGGGAGGGAAGGGCGGCAAGAATTGAAGGTGCGTCACGTCAGTCACGCACTCCGAAAAAGTCCCTGAGGTGATTCTCATGATCCTTGCGAGCCCACAACCTTCAAAATCCAGAAGAAGAAAGCGTGATTACAGGGCAACTTTGAATTTGAGAGTTTCAAAAATTATTAGTTTGTAACTAAGTCTTATGACGTTCTAATTTTTACGACGATAAGTCGTACACTTCACATTTTCAATACGGGTCCAGTTCACTATTCGATAGAGCAAAGCAAGCTCTATAAGATGACCTCCAATAGTCCGCACTAACTTCGAACCACCGTAAGTTTGCATCTAACAATAAAATCTGAGTCGTACCGAAGGCTAAGAAATCGCGAAAAATTTATATCCTCGTTCAAAGAAATCCTACGAATCTCCAATTTGAAAAATTGCACACTACATCAAACACTTATATGTTACCATTCCTACATTTTTTTCTTTATGTAGAAAATGAGAAAACGAAAATTTTCATGTTTATACAAAAACGAAACTATGCTTTTTTGCATCTATCTAATTGTACACTACAATCTCTTGAAAGCATTATGGCAGTAAATTTTCAGCTTTCCACAAGCTCTAGGTTTCAGGAAATATTGATTTTAGCATGGAACACCCAAGTGAGAGCTAAATTCGGCAATTTTTGAAAACTCTGACGTATGGAAAACTGAAAATCTAATGTTATACTCCTAAGGGCTGAGCGTAGAATGACTGAATGCATATGCCACGGCTATTTATAACGTCTCCGCCTGGTCAGAAGATCTGACCCAAGTAGGGTGCGAGCTCACGTGTGATGGCTAGGCATGTTCCTTACGATTCATTTTAGGGCTTCTGGCGTGAATCCAAAATGCCTCTAAACATTTGCGAGCCAATGTTTGTGATTCATAGGCTAGTATTTTCACCGTGACTTCAAAATTTGTCTCCGCGTATTTTAGCGCCCTGTGAGTGCCTAGTGGGGTACAGGTTCGTGATCTATCTTTGCCGTCTAAGTGCTCTCTTATGCGAACACATAGCGGCCGCGCTGTCTCGCCTATGTACTCGTCGCCGCAGCTCGCGCAGGTGATAAGATAGACGGCCCTCATCGCTATGCTATCCCCGCCCCTGTACCCAGGGCAGGTGATGCAATTGGGGGTAGTGCAGCCGCGAACATAGATATGATTGCGCACCAAAATGCTCTCAAGATTATTTGGGGGTGTTTCCACGATCGCAACTGTATTTTCTAGCCCGCCCAAAGATATGAATTGTTCGGGATTTTTGAACCTTCAGTAACTCAGATTTTGGATGCAAACTTACAGTGGGTCGAAGTTGGTGCGAACTTTTGCATATCGTTTTGAAGAGCTTGCTTTGGTCTGTCAGATGGTGCCTTGGACCCGTATTGAAAATGTGAAGTGTACGACTTATCGCTGTAAAAAATAAAAAGTCTTAAGACTTATGTTACAGCCTAATATTTATATTATTTACAAGATTAAACAAGTCATTTGTCTTTGTTATGGTTGCGAAAAAAATTTCTTATGCGACTACTCTCAATTATACAAATTCCCATGACAGCCAGAATGCTATATTAATTATTCAGCTATTTTAAGATATTTCTTTGAGTTCGGTGCAGTTACGCCGCAAAAGTTAAAACGATAATTAGCTCGCCCATGTGCCACCTTTGTAGGGCCTTTGATTTTGACATTTGCGCAAAAGCTAAACAATGGGATAGCAGGAGTTAAAAAGCATTTTGTAATTTTATAGTGTATTTTTCCGTAAGCCAATAAAGAAGTCTTTCCAAAGACAAACGAAGACTTGCCTGAGAATTCTTGTGGAAAAATAAACCACGTCTCCAGTGTCTGACGAAAAGAACATTAGTGACCACACCGCCCACGGAGATGAGAACATGGATGGCTAGTACGATATTCAGCTGAACGTTTTTCTTGTATTCTAGCGCACCAGAGCATGTGTCGTTCATTGCTTGTCAGATCTAAAAACACCAACTGCAAGAAGTTGTTATCTATTCGAAATCGCGACTGTGGCAGAAGTTGATTTTGTAGCTCTTTTAGATTGAGCAGATAATAATCTTGGTAGTTTTCAACAATATTACATAAATTTACACTCAAAATTATATGACTTGTCATTGAGCACTAATATGGTAGTCTATTTTTATTTTTGATTTTCGGCGATGAACTTCAGCTTCTTCAATAATCTAATAAAGACCTAACATTTAAGATCTAAACGTGGCATCCTCTGCCATTTCACAAACAGGCTTCATGAGAGTTGATATTTTACCCATTTTACTGCATTAAATAAATGACACTACCGAAAAGCATGAAACCCGGAAAACGGGATCGATAAGGAGACTAGCTAATAATGAAAAAGCAGAACGATGCGGAGTATGGCAGAAATCTAGATCAGAAGATGCTCATTAGGTGTACTATCTAGACGCAAAGCGTAGTAGGTGAGTAAGAAACTTAAGGAAGCAATACAAAGGTGCTATAAAACATGCAATATGCATTACAAAGCAACACAAGCGTGCTCTGCAGGAAGCACTAGAAAAAAATCGAGCGCGCAAAATTTGTGAGCACTTCTACAATATCCGACGTACACGTAGGAATTCTAAGAAATTCAAAGGAGATTGATCTGAGAGCGCGCTTCGCGCACATGGCGTTCGCTAACTACGAATACGCCTTATTACCACAGCCAAACGAGTGAACGGATCCGTACCGCTATCACAGAAGAAGGCCATAATGAAGATGAAGAACGGCGGAACGACATTCAAAAAAGTCATCCTTAGCGAGTTCTGGAAGCAGTGCCGAGAAGTTTTGGGGGTTGTCAAGCCTTCTGCCATATGCCTGAAATTCGAAAGCACTAAAAACTATCTTCGATTTAACGCGGAGGTGGCCCCATCAGTACGGATTCGTGAGGGTTGCACTACCCCAGACGCCTTTTGATGATAATGGACAGAAGCAGGGGAAAACATAGAGCCGCGTGGGCATTCCACATCCTGAGAAAGCATTGGTGTGGTATTGCACGACTTAATACGGTGGGCACTCCGGAGGAACAAGGGGCGAAGAAAATGTTTAGTGGATCAGAATGATATACAAAGGTGCCAAACATGTATAAATGTTCCAATCTCTACATCAACGCCGTCGCATAACAATAACGATCTGCACTCTTGTCTCTTGTTCATCATTGTAGTGAGCACAATGCTTATAAATTTCATGAGCCAATCCCATGGACCTGTACGTCGCTGATGTAACACTGATTGTCGGAAGTAAAAAGGAACTGGAAACGGACGTATAGATGTAAAGAAGACAATTCGAACTACACAGAAAGATCAACACCACATTTACAGAGTACATGGAGTTGGGAGTCCGAACGCCAAGGCGGCCTCGAGAGCACAGAATTCAAGAAGATTGCCTTAAATTGGGTACTGAAACTCGGCAGATGGTAGGATTGAAGACCGATCATCTGCCTGATAAACGCAGCTTATCTGGTATGGAGAAGCCTCAGAGGAGTGTTGAGGAACAAACAAATGCCGAGCAAGCTGAAACGTACAGCACCTGGCTCGCCCAAGCGCGATGTATGGAAGTGTGTTGGTCATGCACACGTAAGGAGGGACTGAAGCTTGATGTGATAAAAATACGTAAAGAACGAGAGGACGAATACATTAAAGACTAGAGGTGCCAGTGAAAGATCCCGGAAAAAGACTAACAATAAAAGTAAGAACAAAACATTAAAGTCAAGGTAGATTTAAGAGAACTAGGAATAGATGAAAGGTAAGCGAAACATGGGAAAGATAAATCGGGGTGGCAGAACCCACATGGGAATGATGCAAGGATGAAAAAATGGGGAATGTGTGCCTCGCTGGAAGGAACACCTACCTTGAGGCGTGGCTTTTTGATTTGAGATGTAAGTACGTGTGATTCGCTCCAGCTCCAATAGTAATTCTATCTCCTGTATCTACGATCGTTTTCTGAAGCAAGTTACAAAGGTTTCACGCGCCAAGCTCAGCTCAAAATTGTTCCAGGCACCATTAAGAACCTAAATTCTGAAAACTATCATATGTAAATTACGCTGACAATGAGTTTGAAAATTGTAACTTCTGTAATGAAAAAAACGACAGCGTCCGCCTCGTTTTTTTTCTGCTTTTAGAAGTGTACAGTTTATCTGGGTTTCATTGCTTACAGTACTTGTGAAAGTGAGAACAAACGACTTTTACAGGTTTACATTTTTTTCGTAAGTTAATTGATAGACCTTATCTAAAGTATTGTAAATTCCATACATGAGCAGCTGAAACAACGTGTAGAGATTTGTAGAGATTCATTACTGTCTTGTCCTCTTAGTTCAGAAAATATATGATTGCTTCAAACGAGCTGTTCTGTGCCATCCATATCAAAGGTTATTTTGCTTGGTTTTCCTACATGTCAAAATCAGACGCTACCACCTCTTGAATTGGCCAATTTCGAAGCCATAAATCTGTCGGATCAACTGGGATTACTTAATAAAAGGGAAGAAAACCTTTAAGATGGCAATAATCTCTTGCAACAAAAAATTTTAAGTTCGAATTTGTCAACATGATTCCATTATGGAAACCAGACTACAAATTCTATGTTTCAACCACACTTTCACGCGTTATCATATTGATTTTTGATATAATTGATAGAGTGAGGTCATTGCAGCTTTGGTCAGGGTCAGCCTGCTTAATTAAGGACTACTAGGGAACCAAAAAAAAATCAGGAAAAAATTGGGATTTTGCAGACTTTGAGCAAATCCTCAGATAGCTAGGAACTCGCTTATTTCGGATATCAACATTAAAATTCTATAGGGAAAGCAAGAAGAAATTTACACCGTTCCGGCTTTTCGGACGTGACATGGTGTTCATATTGTCGTCTACTTCGCTCGATATGTAAAAAAGTACCAAAAGAAATGATCTGCGAAGTTTGAAATTCCTAAGTAGATAAAAAGACGCTGATTTTGAATTTTTGATCATCATTTGAAGAGTTTTGAGCCAAGCTACGATGCGGCACTTCCAGCACATAAGATTTCATTCAGGTAGCCGCTGGCATGGAGCCAAAGAAGATAACAAGATCTCAAAATTTCCGGAATTTAGGAGACGCTGAACTGAAATATTCAAGCTAGAATTTCAGTTTGGGGTTAAAGAAAGTCATGGCGGTGCGGCGATAATGACGCGGCAGTGTGTTCATACCGCCGTCCCAAAAAAAGATTTCTAAACGAGATTTTGAAATTTTTGAAAACACTGTTGGTGCCCAGCAGGCGCTGATTACCAATATTCAAGTTAGATTTCAATTGACTGAAGTCCAAGCAAGCTATCGCAGTGCGGCACTTCCAGCGCGACAACGCGTTCATAACGTAGGATTTCAAGGCGGCAGTGATGGTACTGTAGTTTGTGGATGTATGGTACTTGGCAGACCTTAACAGCTCCGCTTGTAATTCATTTGCGGCTACCGTATCAAGTTCTGCAGCTTCTTCCAGAGAAAAGTTTAACAAATACAAGAAGCAGTTCTATAGTACTCGGTGTCTTGTACTAATTTACAACCCAAAAGACATTTTCCGAACCCGTAACTTTGATATGTCACTTTTCTTGCAAAATATTTAGTTGCAAAGGAAGAAGTGTAAACCTCCTGCCAGCGCCAAAAAGAAACTGACAGGTCATTTACATGTTTTAGAGGTTTCAACAAGAGCTTTGTGTCGCCTACCTACCAACATAAATACATCTTTTTGAATCGAAATATAGCATTTTTATTTAACAATTTTGAAGAGAACATAAACATCATACCATGATGTTATTTTGTTTCTAAGTGAACATATTAGAGTTGCCCATGACAGAAAAGATCGCTAGGATTCCATCATCTAAGTTGGCGAAACAAACGAAAGCGTGGTACAGTCGAGTAGATTTCCTGCTTAATATAGTGTCCCTGTAGACGCGACAACGCTGGGGCGTCAATAATTGCCTTGCGAGTTTCCGAGTGAATGTTTTCTAGTGTTTTCTTATCTTATTCTTATTCTTTTTAGGTAAATCGTCACTGGTAAAGGAGAAGAGGGTAAGTTAGAGGATAAAGTCTGTTTTCTGAGTAGCTATTTCACCGCTTAATCTCAGATATCCATGTAGAAGCTGATCGCATCAGTTTCATGCGTATTCTTGTCACTTCATGTCTCTTTCTTCTTGTGAAGTACTTCTTTGAACGCTAGTAGGTTTTTACGATTGACTTGTTGTCTTTATCACACGAGGTTCTCGCTCTAATGACATTTCTTATGGGTGAAAGCCGAAGTTGTTACAAGACAAGCCAACTAGCGTTCAAAGAAACGTCTCACAAGAAGAAAGAGGGTTGAATTGACAAAAGAAAAGGAAATGACACAAAAAATAGGCAAAAAACTGACGCGAACTGCTTCTACGTACATATCTGTGAATATGCGATGATGAAACTTCTTAGAAAACAGAAACTACTATCTAACCTACCCTTTTCGTCTTTTTAAGCCACGAAATACCTGAAAAGCAAAGGATGAGCAAAGAAAACAGTGGAAAACATTCGTTCGGAAACTCGCAAGGCGATTATTGACGCCCCAGCGTTATCGCGTCTGCAGGAAGACTATATTAAGCAGGAAATCTACTCGACTGTACCTAAAACCATCGCTTGCATTTTCTCCTGACCAAATTCGCATAATGGTAGCAGTTCAAAAAGAAAGATGTCTTGGAATGATTACTGAAAGGACTAAAATGTTCTGTTAAACATTCTGGTCTAATTTGCTTCTACAAAGGAACTGAGCAGCTTTGAGTCCTCACAAAAGCTTCCCTACCTCTCGAGATGAATTCAAGAGAAAACATGTCAAACTGCATCAATACGTCTTAAACTTTCTCGTGACATGTGGCAGGTAGACAGCCTCATAAAATCCATAAAAAAATTTCTAGACTGAATCATGTGTAATGTGAGAATTCTCAAAGGTAAGTCC